AAGAAAGAGCAAGATCTTGTCTAAAAAAAAAAAAAAGAGGTTGGTTTGGGGGAGCATGAATCACAAAAGCACCGCCTTGCTAAACACCACTTCATTCTTTTAGAATTGAGGGCCTTAAGTTCATTATATTTTTCAAAGCACTTTCAAAATACAAGCATTCTCTACAAACCTTCCCTGACCTTTGCCGTCAGGGAACATTTGTTGAATTGAATCAAATATTTAGAGTTAGAAATAATTCCTCCCCTCCTAAAGTCACGAGGCTCTTAAACATAACTTTCTTGTGAGCACACCTGCTTTATTGCGTTAAAGTTTCTCTTGCATGCCTTGTCTCTTGTGTGATGACTTGTGCCTTGGTGTATAACGCTTTTCTTATCTTTGTATCTCCCCAGTACATTCAACCCCACCTCCTTAAGCAGTGCCTACAGAATGAGTCAGGTTGAATTTTAAAAGTTAAATGTTTTGGCCAGGCATCATGGCTCACGCCTGTAACTCCAGTGCTTTGGGAGGCTGAGGCTGGAGGATTGCTTAAGGCCAGGGCTTTGAGACCAGCCTGTACAACATAGCAAGACCCCATCTCTACCAAAAGAACAATTAGCTGAGTATGGTGGCATGAGCCTGTAGTCCCAGCTACTTAGGAGGCTGAGGTGGGAGGATTTCTTGGGCCCAGAAGTTCGAGGCTAAAGTGAGCTTTGATCATGTCCCTGCACTTCAGCCTGGGTAATGCTTCATTTAAAAAAAATATGTATTTGTTTTATTTTATTTTGTTTTATTTTATTTTATTTTGTAGAGACAAGGTCTTGCCATGTTGTCCAGGCTGGTCTTGAACTCCTGGTCTCAATAATCCTCCCACCTTGGCCTCCCAAAGTATTAGGATTTTTTGATAATTAAAAATATTCTATTCTTCTGAACTATCTATCTGCAAGCATATTATTATCATGGATTTCATACTTTAGGTACACCTCACTGACCAGAGAATGTATTAAACATTAAAAAAAGTTTCATCTTTTTAAAATGAAACATTATCCAGGCTGAAGTGCAGTGACATGATCATAGCTCGCTATAGCCTTGAACTCCTGGGCTCAAGATATCCTCCCACCTCAGCCTCCTGAGTAGCTGGGACTACAGGCTCATGCCACTATACCCATACTTTAGATATGAAATCCATGAGACTGAATTGAAGTCCCATACCAGTTTACTGGTCTGATACAGAGACTGGTCTGAAGTTTCAGATCAGTTTTTTTCTAGCCCTATTTAGCCTAGTGTTCATAGATGACTATTAGGTAAAGTAAGCAGCACTACAATAGCATCTCTGGAGATAGAAGAGTACACCTCACTGACCAGAGACAGCCCAGATGGCTTCCTCCACTTGCTGTGGGCTCTCAGTGATGTTATAAATAATAACATCACACTCCAGCAGGCGCAGGAGAAGGTCTTCTCGGGAGATGGCCTGAAAAAGAAAATCGACAGCCATTTGCAGCAAGAAGCTAACAAGGTAACCTTAATATTTCAATGAAATGACAATTTTCAAAAGAGATCTGCTACACTGAAGAGTCCCACAGGAAACACTTGCAAGAGGATTTCTATTTGAAATGAAACTGTGACTCTCTTCTGTGTGTAGTTTTCAGGTAACAAAGAAGTTTATGAAAACCACTTGGAACAGATGATTTAAAAATTGCATAATAATCTCAGGTATTATTTCTGCATGCTGTTTAAACTCCATTTCAGAAGGGAAGAATTAGAACACTAATTAGAACACTGAAAAAAATGAGTGAGACATTTAAAACTAATTCAAGCTCTATGCAAGATTATTTGAGCAATTATGTATCACAAATCACTCAGAAGTGCTGATGAGTGATGAATGTGGATTGTCTTAGAATTCTCAAGATGTTCTCTTTCTAGATTAAGGTACCTTATTACAGTTGACAGCTGGAACTATTTTAAAAATACAGAAACGTTTAATGGTTAAAAACGTAAAGTTTATATATTAAATAGAAGTAACTTTGGTGATCATTTTTGGTGTTTGTTTTTTTTTTAATTTGAGACACAGTTTCACTCTGTCACCCAGACTGGAGTGCAGTGGCACGATCTCAAGTTCACAGCAATCTCCACCTCCCGGGTCCAAGTGGTTCTTGTACCTCAGCCTCCCAAATAACTCGGACTACAAGCATGTGCTACCATGCCTGGCTAATCTTTTTTTCTTTTTTGTAGAGATGGGGTTTCACCATGTTGGCCAGGCTGGTCACAAACTCCTGACCTCTGGTGATCTGCCTGCCTTGGCCTCCCAAAGTGTTAGGATTACAGGCGTGAGTCACTGTGCTAGCCAGCGATCACTGTGTTTTAACTAGCCATTCCTTGCTGCATGAATACCAGCAGGCTTCCCAATAGTACGGTGCCTTGAGTGCGTTAAGAGAACCGTAAAAGGACCCCGTGTTTCCAAACCAGGATTTGCATTAGTTGTTATTCCCATTGCCCTGAGCATCAGCTGTTTTCCGCAGTTCCTTGACCAACCGTATTAAAGCAGAACCTTTTAGAACAAGCTGGGTCTCTTCCCTTTATTGAAGAACAAAGGGAAGTTGATGTCTTTCCTTAGGAAATGACAGTTCTGCCTTGGCAAGGTTAACGCGTCCTTGTTAAATTCAACAGCATGCGCTAGGCTGCTAGTTTCTCCAGCCCCATTCCTGAGATCCTTTTGAATGAATCTGCATTAGTTTTCTAGGGCTGTTGTAATAAAGTGCCATGAACTGAATGGCTTGAACAACAAAAGTCTCACTGTTCTGGAAGCTAAAAACCTAGGATCAAGGTGTTGTAGGGTTGGTTCCTTCCAAGGGCTGAGAGGGAGAGTCTGTTCCCTGCCTCTCCCTTAGCTTCTGCTGGTTTGCTGGTAATCTGTTCCTCGCCTTGTAGATATGTCACCCTGATCTCTGCCTTGATATTCACATGGTGTTTTACCTGTGTGTTGTCTGTGTCTAAATTTCCCCTTCTTACAAGTTCACTGGTCATACTGGATGATGGACCCACTTTAATGACCTCCATTTGTTTGGATTTCCTCTGCAAACACCCTATCGCCAAATATGGCTGTATTTAGTAATACTGGTGGTTAGAACTTCAATCTCTCTGTTGGGGGTGGGGGAGAAACAATTGGACCCATATCACCAGCCTTTCAGTTCCTTCTCTCGATTCAATGTGCAAGAGGGAAGCCACTGACAATCTTGATCCAAACACTGATTTTTACTTTACCCAATAGCACGACAATGGGAAAGGACACCACCTTCCCAGTACACCTAGGATGGATCAAGATCCAGAAATGACACATGAAAGAAAAGAAGAAACACTGGGAGAATACAAGGACTCAAAGATGTGTATTCTAGATGTGGTCCAAGAGAAAGAAGATACAGCATCTATGTTTCCAGCTTGTAAAAGCAGGTGTGAGTGGTGTCCATAGAAAAATATGCACATGTGTCAAATTACGGCTGGATCTATTTAGGATGAAACAGCCACATGTTCAAGAGAATGGTCATCCTGACCCGATGTTAAGTGACAATTTTTCTGCATTCATTTGTTCACCCAACAAACATTGTGGGCCCTGCTTTTGACTCTTGTGACAGAGACAAAACTGAATAATATATAGTTGACGATACTAAGGAGCATTGTATGTGTGTGTGTTCTTGAGAAGACTTATATCACATAATCATGGTCTAATGTAGACAAGGGCCCAACCAAGCACACATGAAGCCTTTGTACAAGTGGGAAAAAAGGTAACCTGCTTGGTGAAAAAATAATAAGAAGGGGTGTACTCTGGGGCACAGGACAGCCAACATACCAGGCTGCTCTTCAGCCCCTACTCACTCCTTTAGCCAGGCACTCCTGTACAGTGTGTAACCTGTACAGCTAGACACAGAAGCCCCAAAGCAGGAAAGGGCTGTCATAGAGGTATATCTGAGGTTCAAAGGACTAAGGGAAACATGATTATGTCTCATAGGAGAAGATATTTGACTTGGGTTGGAAGGGGGAATACAAGCTCACCTGGCACAGCCCAGAAAGCTCGTGGAATAGCAGGTGGTTTGCTGAGCCAGGTAGAAGCACCTTTCATAACCTGGAGCAGGCTAATGGTTTCCATTCTCACCTCTCTCTCACCTTTGCTTTGCTTTATTTTTTGCTGGTCTTCTCTGTGTCATTCCAATTTCAGCATATGTGCTGCTGAAGCAAGCACTCTCTCACCTTTCCTGTCACCTTGTGTCTTCACTGTGGCTCCTTATAACCCATGCTCTTTTTTTTTTTTTTTCTTTTTTTTGAGATGGAGTCTCACTCTCGCCCAGGCTGGAGTGCAGTGGTGCACTCTCAGCTTGACTCACTTCAACCTCTGCCTCCTGGGTTCAAGCAATTCTCTTGCCTCAGCCTCCTAAGTAGCTGGGACTGCAGGTGCATGCCACCATGCCCGGCTAATTTTTTGTATTTTTAGTCGAGATGGGGTTTCACTATGTTAGCCAGGATGGTCTTGATCTCCTGATTTCATGATCCTCCCGCCTTGGCCTCCCAAAGTGCTGGGATTACAGCTGTGAGCTACCGTGCCTGGCCAACCCATGCTCTTTCTTTGCCAAAGTACACCACACACTTACCCAGGCATTCCCCCTTGCATGGTGTTTCCTTCCCCCCTTACCTGCCTTGTAAGCTCCACTCAACCATGGAAGAGCAGCCTCAGCCCCACCATCTCCAATAGATCCCAAACTTCCAAGGGAGGGCCATCTGCAGGACTTTGCGCTAACGGAGGATACAAGATCTAAAGATCAGAGCACAGGAGGCCTCAATCTGTTTGGCAGGGAGGGGTTTGAAGCTTCATTTTCCTGCCTCTCTAGATAAGACTGAGAACTCCTTAGGTGCCCCTTTCAGAGTGCCTTGGGCGATGCTCTGTGCACGCCTCTGTCCCCACATTTACTGCTGCAGAGTCCCTGCCAAGCCGTGAGCTCCATGTTCCTCTGTGGCTCATTGGGGTGCTCAAGAAACATTCGCAGAATCAAATTCAGGTGAGTAGTGAGAGACAGTGAAGATCAGAACTAATGCACATGGCTATAAGAACGGAAAGGAGGGGATGACACGAGACAAAGAGATGTGCTGAGGACCCCATGACCAGCAGGATTCAGGAGCGAAGGGCAAGCCAAGAGCCCACAGCTCTCTGAGGTTTTCAGCTTTGAGGGAAGGTAAGTGCATAATAAACGGGATAAAGGACATTATTGGTTGTCTTCAAACTTCTGTTTCCTCTTCCATTTCTCCAACAGAACCTCAATTTTGCTTCAGATACTCCTCAGCCTGCAGGAAATTAACTCCCTCTTCTAGCTTAAAGGATGAGACTAATTGATCTAAGTGTAAGTGGCTAGCTCCAGAAAAGGACAATGACTCCATTCACGACAGTGAGACTCAAAGAGATGCTTGCCAGGGACTGCTGGCAATGGCCATCCTCCTTTCTCTGAGAACTTCTGCAAGTTTGCTTTGCCAGGGTCTCGCTGTGTAGGAACTAAGGCCCTCAACGGTCGCAGCCTCACTGCCAGCCTGAAGATAAAGTCATCCCCCAAGGAGGGCTGAGCCCAGGAAGGGGCAGGAAGAGGAGCTGGAGTCTGTGGATCAGCCCTGAAACTGGTTCCACTTCTGGGCCACTAGCTACATAAGCTGGTGAATTTCCTTATTTATTAAGCCAGTTTGGGTCACCTCTGCTTTCTATTACATGCAGTCCAAGACAGTCCCGACTGACAGAGATAGCAAGGCCCTTAATAAAAATCAGTAGTACAAAGTCGTACAAAGAGTGGTTTTGTAGGGGGCCTGATAAATATGATTTCGGATATGTGGATTTAACAATGCCTGCAGGATGTCGGGCGCGGTGGCTCACGCCTGTAATCCCAGCACTTTGGGAGGCCGAGGCGGGTGGATCACGAGGTCAGGAGATCGAGACCATCCTGGTCAACACGGTGAAACCCCGTCTCTACTAAAAATACAAAAAATTAGCTGGGCATGGTGGCGCGTGCCTGTAATCCCAGCTACTCAGGAGGCTGAGGCAGGAGAATTGCCTGAACCCGGGAGGCGGAGGTTGCGGTGAGCCATTGCACTCCAGCCTGGGTAACAAGAGCGAAACTCCGTCTCAAAAAAAAAAAAGAAAAAAAAAAACAACAATGCCTGCAGGACAACCAAGTCTAGGAGGCAGCTGGGTTTGGAGGCTGCAGACAGATGCTGAAAGCATTGGCTTACGTGGGGAGCTGAAGCTATAGGACTGGATAAGATTTAGGAAAGCAACCTGTTACAGGAAAGGAGGGAGCTCTGGGGAAAACTGCATTTTTAAAGGGTAAAAAGAGGAAAAGGAGCCAGAGAAAGACGCTGGGAAGGAGTGCTTGGGTGCTTAGGAAGTCGGTGCAGAGCCGAGGCACAGAAAGGAAGGCCAGTTTCTCTCGGAAAGCCAGGCTGCTGCTGTGAAGCCAGGTGAGCTAAGCCCTTGGGAGTCAGGAGACTGCTGGGGACACTGGCCAGGGACCTTCCTATAAAGTATTGTGGGTAGAGCCAGCCAGCACTGGATAGACCAGTGAATGGGGGGGTGAAGAGGCGAGGCCTGTAAATGCGGCTGGTCTCCTGAAGTTCAGTGGTGACAGGGGCCAGGGGCAGGGAAAGAGGCTGGTGGCCAGCAGGGAGGCCAAGTGAATATTTTACATTACATTACACAATGTGAGCATATGTCTAGGTGGAGAGGAAGAAGCCAGTGGTAAGAAGACAGAGGGGGATGAACGGGAAAGAATACACAGAAGACAGGGAAAGGGGGTGAATGGGAAGGTCCCAAAGATGTCCAGGGGGCTGCATTTCTCCATTCCACAAGTGTTTATTGAGGCCACTTTGTAGCAGTGGCTGTGTTAGGTGCCACAGACACATGGATAAACACGGGGATAAACAAGTCACTGTCTCCACCCTCAAGAAGCTGACAGTCCACTTCCATGGACTTCACAATAGACAAGTGATAACAATGAGTGTGAAAAGCGTTATGATCTAGCCAGGCAAAGGATGACATGGGAGCTCAGAATCCAAACTGCGAGTGAGGGAGAAGAAGGAATCATGAATGGCTTCCAGGAGGAAGTGACACAAGGATGAATAAGATGGGTTAGGTAAAAAGAAAAAGAGAGAAGGCTGCTCCAGGGTACAGCATGTGGAAAGCTGTATGGTAGGCTCCAGAGAGTAGCAGGCAGGGTTAGGGAGGAGGTGGCCTGGGAGAAGAAGAGAGCCACTCCTTCTTAGGGTATTTAAACGTCTCAGGACTAGGACTGTGTTGGATTTGTCATGTGGAGACAGCACTGTTTCTAGAGACCGCAATGGTATATTATTTCTGAGTGGTGCATTACCAAAGGATGTTTCTCTTTAAACAAAATATTTTCATAAATATAAAATAGAGACAGGATCTAGCTATGTTGCTGAGGCTGGTCTTGAACCCTTGGCCTTAAATGATCCTCCCACCACAGCCTCCTGAAGTGCTGCGATTATAAGTATGAGTCACTGCACCTGGCCTATTTCTCCTTCACAGATGGTGCCCATCATGGCACAGACTCATCTTGGATAATGCAGGGCAGAATATGCTAGAGAGAGAATTGTATGAGTCTGAAAGTCCATATTAGATGCAACCTTTCCAAAACTGTCTAATTTAAACTCTTTGCTTTGGCCCGAAATTGAAAGTGGGGTCTCCAAGGTAAATCTCCATCACAAGAGAAAGCCATTCCCTCAACCTAGCCATGCCTGTGGAAGAGAGGGGAGGGAGGCAAACAGTAAAACAAGTTGTCAAGGCATTGGAGCAGAAGGTGATTCTTCCCTCTGTCTACTCCTGGCCAGAGCCTCCCAGACTTACTGAGTATATCTCCACCGCAAAGTTGGGCTGCGGGCTGTCCGCCTTGGACAGCGTGCCCACAACCTGGAATGTGCCTTCCTTCACTTTGGTTGTGGAAGCTTCCCGCATAGCTGACTTATTTTCATCTTCCTCTTCCTCCTCCTCTGTAATTTCTTCAAGTGAAGCCCCAACTACACAGTTAGATAGAAACTGCAAGGAAACAGACATTTCCCAAATGGTAAGAACAAATCAGAGTCAGGGAGCAAGTGAATGACGATGATTCTAGAAACTTACCTTTCTCGAGTGCTTGCTGGGGACCAGCAAGGCAAAGCAAATGGTGTGCACACTGTCATCTTATTAAAGTTGATTTAATTCCCAGAGAAGTGGGTATTATTGTAATTCCCCATTTTACAGATGAGGAACTCAGGGTCATAGAGCTTAATCAACTTGTTTCAGGACAGTGCACTCCTCTTGTAGAAGGCAGAGCTGGGTTACAGTGATGATGTTTGTGTTGTTCAACAGAAATAAAGAAATGTAATAGGAGCTACATAGGTTATTTCATTTATTTTTAAAAATGTTGCTGTGTTGCCTAGGCTGGTTTCAAACTCCTAGGCTTAAGGGATCCACCTGCCTGGCCTCCTGAGTAGCTGGGACTGCAGGAACTTATGTAGTTTCAACTCTTCTAATAGTGGCCGGGCACAGTGGCTCATGCCTGTAATTCCAGCACTTTGGGAGGCGACGGCAGGCAGATCACAAGGTCAGGAGATGGAGACCATCTTGGCCAACGTGGTGAAACCCTGTCTCTACTAAATACAAAAAAATTAACTGGGCGTGGTAGCTTGTGCTGAGTAGTCCTAGCTATGCGGGAGGCTGAGGAAGGGGAATTCCTTGAACCCAGAAGGTAGAGGTTGCAGTGAGCGGAGATTATGTCACTGCACTCCAGCCTGGCAACAGATCAAGATACCGTCTCAAAAAAAAAAAAAAAAAAATTAATTCTAGTGGCAACATTTAGAAAGTAAAAACAATGGATAAAATTAATTTAAATGTTGTGAGGTTGGGCGAGGGAGCTCATGCCTGTAATGCCAGCACCTTGGGAAACTTGAGGTCAGGAGTTCGAAACCAACCTGGCCAACATGGTGAAACCTTGTCTCTGCTAAAAATACAAAAATTAGCTGGGCGTGGTGGTGCACACCTATAGTCTCAGCTACTTGGGAGGCTGAGACAGGAGATTTACTTGAATCTGAGAGGTGGAGGTTGCAGTGAGCCGATATTGCACCACTGCACTCCAGCCTGGGCAACGGAACAAGACTCCATC